TGCTGCAATATTTACCTTTCCTCTGAACTTCCTTAATTCAAATTAGAACACACTTCTTCAGTCACAACCATTTAGCAGAATCTGAGTTCAAAATCTGAGTTCAAGCATCACCTTCTCTGGAAACTTCCCTGACCTGCATCCACCCAGCAAAGGTCATGGCTCACTTCTTCGTGTCAAAATCTTACCTCTTACCACCTCAAACAGGTCAGAATGGCCATCATTAAAAAATCTACAAATAACAAATGCTGGAGAAGGTGTGGAGAAAGGGAACCCTCCTACATTGTTGGTGGGAATGTAAATTGGTGCAGCCACTATGGAAGGCAGTACGGAAGTTCCTCAAAAAACTAAAAATAGAGTTGCCATATGATCCAGCAATCCCACTCCTGGGCATATATCCAGACAAAACTATAGTTCAAAAAGATACATGCACCCCTATGTTCATAGCAGCACTATTTACAATAGCCAAAACACGGAAACGACCTAAATGTCCATCGACAAATGAAAGGATAAAGAAGATGTGGTACATATATACAATGGAATACTACTCAGCCATAAAAAAGAATGCAATAATGCTATTTTCAGCAATATGGATGGACCTAGAGATTATATCATACTAAGCAAAGTCAGAAAGACAAATACCACATGATATCACTTATATGTGGAACTTAAACTATGACATAAATGAACTTATTCACAAAACAGACTCGTAGAGAACAGACTTGTGGTTGCCAAGGGGGAGTGGGGTGGGGGAGGGATGGATTGGAAGATTCGGATTAGCAGATGCAAACTATATATAAAACGGATAAACAACAAGGTCCTGCTGTATAGCACATGGAACTATATTCAATATCCTCTGATAAACCATAATGGAAAAGAATATGAAAAGGACTATATATAACTGAGTCACTCTGCTGTACAGCAGAATTAACACACATTGTAAATCAACTATACTTCAATTAAAAATATATATATATATCTTACCTCTTTCATGACAGCAACTCCCAGCAACATTCACTTAACCTCTGCAAATTCAATCCTACGTAAATTGTTCCATTAATCAGCTGTAAAATGTGACTGGCATGACACATATATTAAGTACAGAAAAACAAAATAATCCAGTGGGTGAACAAACATCAAAAAATGAGCGCGGTAGAGAGAAGCCAACCCAAGGAGGAAGCTTGTAGCTTGTTCCCATTCCCAGAATGAGGGACACAAGGCCTTGTGCTTTAGTCTCATCCCATTGTTAGATGCAAGAGGAAAGGCCCAATGGGGCTGAGGTAGGAAGAACCTAACAAGGTTCCAGAGGTGATGTCAGCCCCAATAGCCACGGGGTGAAGTGGTAAGGATGGCCTGTCTTCCTCTTCTTCTAATACGGCCTCCAAACCCCTCTTCCCTCCAGAGAAGTCTGTCTCTGTCGGCCTAGTTCTCGCCGTAGTGGTGATATAGAATCCAGAAAACGTGTAGCAGGAACAGGGTGAGAGAGGCGACAGGAAAGTAGACGCCATCCGCTTGCTGCTCGGCTCTCGGTGCCGTGTTTCCACGTGGCGCAAGGGACAGGGGGCCCGTGCAGGGCAGAAAGGGAGCTAAACGAGGAGCTGGCGGGTTACGGAGGGTGAGGAGGAGGAGAGAAACTGAAAAGGCACAAGGGTTGGGTCCTGGAGATTCTTCAAGATGAGCAGGTGAGACGCTTTGAGGCCGTTCCGGGCAGAGAAAGATGGGGCAACAGAGGAAGGCGTCGCTAAATGTGGCTGCGGATCTCGCGAGAACATAAAGATTTACTTCATGCAAAATGGGGCTGTCCTGGGCTTCCCTGGTGGTGCAGTGGTTGGGATTCCGTCTGCCGAGGCAGGGCACACGGGTTCGTGCTCCGGTCCGGGAAGATCCTGCGTGCCGCGGAGCGGCTGGGCCTGTGAGCCGTGGCCGCTGAGCCTGCGCGTCCGGAGCCTGTGCTCCACGAGAGAGGCCCGCGTACCGCAAAAAAAAAAAAAAAAAATGGTGCTTTCCGTGAGGTGAGGGTATTGACTGAGAAGGAGCAGAAAGGGGCCTTTTGGGGTTCTGGAAACGTTCCGTATCTTAATCTGGGGTGGGGAGGGGTATAGGCTTGCCAGGTAAAATATAGGAAACTCGGTTAAATATTTGGGACAATGAATATCAAAAAAGATTGTTTATCTGGGCTTCCCCGGTGGCGCAGTGGTTGAGAGTCCGCCTGCCGATGCAGGGGACACGGGTTCGTGCCCTGGTCCGGGAAGATCCCACATGCCGCGGAGCGGCTGGGCCCGAGAGCCATGGCCGCTGAGCCTGCGCTTCTGGAGCCTGTGCTCCACGAGAGAGGCCCGCGTACTGCCAAAAAAAAAAAAAAAAAAAGATTGTTTATCTGAAATTCAAATTTAACTGGGTGTCTTATAAACTGGGTGGATTTGCTAAATCTTGCCACCATAAGGTGGTAGTTACATGAGTACAGGCCAGTGCTTCTCAAGTGGGGGTGATTTTGCCCCAGCCGACAACTCTGGTGACATTTTTAGCTGTCATGACTTCGGTGGGCATGCTACTGGTACCTAGAAGGTAGAGGCCAGGGATGCTGCCGCTAAACATCCTACATGGCACAGGGCAGCCCCCTCAACACAGAATCATCCAGCCCAAATGTCAATAGTGTTCATCTTCGTAAAAAGTCAGCAAGCTGAGGTTTGCTGATATGTTCTTTTTACTGTACATATGTCACAATAAATAAATTTATGACAAAAAATTATTTACTCTGCAATATCAGAGACCTTAAAATGAGTGAAGGTTTGAATTAAACGGGATAGTGCATCTCAACAACATCAGGAAAAAACCCTCTATTTTTAACTACATTTTTTCATGGGAATGTGCTTCCCTAAATTTGAGTCCATGAGAAGATTGGGCAAGGTGGGGCTCCAGGGTTATTGAGTTGCATATTTCTGCAACATTTACCTAAGACTTCATGGCCATGGCTCCTGGGGCACCCCAGCAAACTCACAGGGACGCCATGAGATATTTTACCTTTTTAAGGGAAACACAGAGGCACTCAACAACTGCCAGACGTACAAAATACTAGCTTGAGCTCATTCCCAGTTTTTAGCATTAGATCAGAAAAATCACTATGGAACAGGAAATGAAGGGTGACAGTCTTCAATCTGCTTCCCAAATGTGAGAAGCTGTGAAGTTCCCAGTTGGTGCACACATCCCATTAGTAAGCATGGTCATCTCAAAATATTTTTTTCTTTTGATTTATGTTTATTTCTTTAAATAGCTACCAAGTTTATAAGACACAAATATTATTAAGTTGTTTGAACTTAACTACTTAATAAGTGGAACTGTTAGATATTTCTTTCGGCCTGTGGTGCTGTGAACAGAGAAAATTTGGGAAGCTCTGCCTAAGAGAACCGAATGGTTGTGTAAGTTCAGCAGTATTTATATATTATACATATCACACTATTTTAGTTTTTGAAAATAAGTGTGTCTCTTCTCCTTAAGGAGATCATCTTTGTCAACCTGAAGACAGAAATGTTTGCTAAATGACTATTGTATGAAGGGGAGGAAATGCCTTTTATTTATTTTTTAAACCACTTTTATTGAGATATGATTGACATACAAAGAGCCATACATATTTAACGTACACAACTTGATGAGTCTGGAAACCAATGAGACCAAAGGGGGAAAAGAAAAAAAAAAAAGAAGCTTTTTAGAGAGAGCTTGTTACTCCCAGAATGTAGCTAACATGTGATTTCAATCAATGGGTTAAAATGTGAAAACCCACAAAAAAGAGAAGAAAAAAGGAAAATTTGGGATCAGAAGATTTGAGAAGCAGGGTTTTCTTTCCTCATCTTGACATAACACAGACACAGCAGCCTCCTTTATTCATGGGAGCAGCTTGGCCTTAGTGTGAGCACAAAAGGCACAAGAAAAAATTCTGGACATTAGGGCAGCTGATGTCATGACATCTATCTCATAATCACCAGTGGAAAACAGCCCATTCCTCCATGGGTTAGCATAGAATTTTTCAGTTGTGTTCAAAGCATTGCCACAGACACACTCATTTTGTTACCAGCTTCTCACTTAGCAAACAGCAGGAACACCACTGGGCTTCCAAGCCTGGCTAGGTTCAAATTCCCTGGCTTTCCAGAAGGCATCCAGGCCTCTCCGCTTTTGCACAGGGCAGTATCCCCATGACCCCTTGCAGTTTTCCACGGTTGTCTCATACCCAGTCACTCTCAGGCAAGCACAATTAGTTGCACTGCCTAGTGCCAAGGGAGAAGTGCCAAGCTAGTGAGGAAATGAATCAAAATGAATTGAAATTATCTGCAGAGAACTGATGAGGAAGGCTCCTGCTGCGGCAAAAATCAATGAGTGAAAAAAATGGTCTGCCTGAGAAAATCAATGAAACCAAAATGGGCTGACCATAGGGAAGAATTCTCTCATATACACAGGCCATGCCTGACCTCAGATGTGCTCAGCAAATACAGCCCTTGCCCAGCTTGTTGAAGGGAACATGACCTTTCCTCTGCAGCAGTGCTTCTTAAACTTCAATGTGCACATGAGTTACCTGGGAGCTTGTTAACATGCAGATTCTGATTCAGTAGGTATGAGATGGGGCCTGAGAATCTATATTTCTAACAAGCTTCCAGGAGATACTGATGCTGCTGGTGTGTGGACCAGACTTAAGTAGCAGACATCTAGAGGAATGTGGCTTCTCAAAGTGTGTGGTCCCTCTACCGCAGCATCAGCATCATCTGGGAACTTGTTAGAAATGCAAATTCTTGGACCCCACCCCAGACTGACTGAATCAGAGGCTGTGGGGCTAGAAATCTGAGTTGGGTTTTTTTTTGGTTTTTTTTTTTGTGGTATGCGGGCCCCTCACTGTTGTGGCCTCTCCCGTTGCGGAGCACAGGCTCTGGATGCACAGGCTCAGCGGCCATGGCTCACGGGCCCAGCCGCTCTGCGGCATGTGGGATCCTCCCGGACCGGGGCGTGAACCCGCGTCCCCTGCATCGGCAGGCGGACTCTCAACCACTGTGCCACCAGGGAAGCCCGAGAAATCTGAGTTTTAACAAGCTCTCCAGGTGGTTCTGATGCACTCTCACATTTGAGAACCACAAGTATTCTAGATCTAGGCCATGTTTCCATGTAGGTCCCTGACCATCTCTACCATGAAAACTTCTCATGGTAAGCAAACGTAAGATCCATTGCCTTCCTCTGAAATCATCATCCTTAAATCTCTATTTTATGTTGTTAACTTTTCACACGCTCTTATTTGTCTCCTAAACTATATCAAGAGCTCTGAGAGCAGGGTCATAACTTGCAGAGCTCTGCATCTCCAGCTGCTTTAGCACTGTTTGCTATATAGCATGTGATCAATAAGCACTTGTTGATAGGCTGATGATGTTAGGTGGATTCACAGTGAAGTCAAATATGGCTGAGAAGCAGGAATTTAGTTGCTAGGTTGAGCATCCTCTTCAAGTAACTAAAATATAGGTATTTGCATTCATTATCTAATGCTGCATAACAAACCACCCCAAAACTTAGCGGCTGAAACAACAATACTCATTTGTTATCTCTCATTGTTTCTCTGGATCAGGAATTTGGGGCTGGCTTGGCCGAGCAGTTTGGGCTTGGCTTATGGGTCTCTGATGAGGTTGTAGTCAGATATTGGCAGGCTGAAGTCAACCAAAGGCTGGACTGGGCCTTAAAGATCTGCTTCTAAGATGACTCGCTCATGTGGCTGGCAAATTGGTGCTGGTTGTTAGAAGAGGCCTCAGTGCTTCTCCACTGGGCTACTTGAGTGACCTCACAATGTGGCAGCTGCTTTCCCCCAAAGGAAGCCACCCAGAAGGCCAAGGCAGGAAGTGCCATACTGTCACTTTCTTAGTATTCTTTTGGTCACACAGGTTAGCCCTGGCAACACAAGGGCCTGAATACCAGAGGCAAGGATAACTGGAGGCCATCTTGGAGGCTGGTAATCACACGTGTATCTTCAGTTTGGCATAGGCATTGAGTTTGCTCTCAAGGAGTTCACAATCTTGTGGAGGGAGAAAAATAGTAAACAAGTTCACAAACAAAGGACTTAAGACAGAAATACATACGTGGAAAAAAAGAAAGCAACAACAGAAGTAGACGAGGTGGGGGGTAACTTTAGATAATGAGGTCAGGGACTCTCTGAGGTAGTGAAATTTGAGCTAAATGATGAGAAGGAACTTCCACGTGGCAACCAGGCAGGGGGAATGGTTTGTGCAAAGGCACTGGACAAACTTGAACAAGCTTGGCATGTTTCAGAAACAGAAAGAAGCCAAGTGTGGCTAGATGGTAGAGAAACAGGGAGTGCCAGTGAGGAGAAGCCAGCATCCAGAGAGGCAGGAGGCAACCTGTTTGTTGTCTCCAAAGCCGAGAAAAGAGAGTTTCTACAGCAATCAACTGTTTTAAAAAGCTGCTGAGAGGTTGAACAAGAAAAACATAAAGAACTGGCCAATGGATTTGGCAAGGAGAGCCCTGGAGACCTTGTCAAAAGCAGTTTCCGTGGCATGGCTGGGATTAAAAGCCTGATGAGTCTGTTGAACTGAGGCTGGAGGTGAAGAAACAGTGGCAACTGGCATGGAATTATTCTGAAAAGAACTGATGTGATAAGAAGACAAATGGGGCAGCACCCCTGAGGGCGTGGAGTTAAGGAAACTTTTTTGTTTTGATTTTGGGCTTCCGGTTTTGGCTTTTGGTTTTAAAATGGGAGATAGGCCAGCCTACACGAAGTATGCTGAAGGGAGTGAGGTGAGATACAGAAGTCTCTGGAACATAGCAGTCACTCAGTGTATGCAGTTCTCATCCTTACCCTTGTGACTGAATTTTCTTTAGACCCAACTAAATCGAGACAGCTAATTTGGAAACTTGGGACTTTTTTTTTCCTGATTTCATTGAGAATTGTAGTTCTTTTGGTAGCTCTTCTCATTTAACCCATGAGTAGCTTTTCTTTTTTTTATTGAACCGTAGTTGATCTACAATTTTGTGTTAGATTCAGGTGTACAGCAAAGTAATTCATATATATATATATATATATATATATATATATATATATATATAATTTTTCACATTCTTTTCCATTATAGGTTATTACAAGATATTGAATATAGTTCCCTGTGCTATACAGTAAATCCTTGTTGTTTATTTTATATATAGGGCTGTGTATCTGTTAATCCCATACCATGAGTAGCTCTTTAGACTTTAGTGTCTAATTTCTAGAGTTTATGGAAGAAATAAAGCCATCTTTTTTCTACAATATGCAGTTTTAAATTCCCACTGCTTAAGACTAGTCTCCTTTCTTACAGTCTTCTGCTTATTCCTCCTGAGTTTTTGTGACTAAACGGGGCTGGGTGCAGAGACTCAGCCCCAGCTCTGCCCAGCCTAGGGTGTCTCCAGTGATCTCAAAGGGCAGTGAAAATTTTCCTACAGATTATTGAAATAGTCAACTTTTATTTACTTTAAGTACATATATATGCCATAAAGGAGGGCTCTTTTTTTTTTAGCCAGAACTTCCCATTGCTGCCCTGAGGCACATGGGGAAACCACAGAGGTTGCCATACGCAGTGCACAAGCACACTCTCTGTTCCCCAACTGTACCTAATGAATATTTTCCTTTTCTGTGTGTGCCACAGCCTGAAGATGATTGGGAAATACTGATTTAAAAACACTGAATAGGAGTAAAAGTCAGTCCAGGCCTTCTTGCTTTTTTCCTGTCTCCTCCTGGATGGACCCCTAGCTGTCCTCCCAACCTCCATGGTCAGCCCTGCCCTTCTCCCTTGGAGAGTCCTACCCTCTTTCAACTCAGCACCTTCTATAGGACAGGGTTCTACTTAGGTTTAAGGTTGCTGCCTGGAGAAGGAGGTGAAGGAAGAGACTTCAATAAAATCAGTGATCCTCATGTGTACGTAGGTTACTGTCAATCTCCCTGGTTGCTGTGAGTTAGCACGAACCCTGCTCCGGAATCCCTACTCCAGAGGCAGTTAATTAGAAAGTGAAGAACCCTAATCAGGAGTACATACTCCAAATTCTGTAAGTCCTTCAAATATTATCTGAATCAGAACCAAGTATGCCGTAATTAGCATAGAGATGTTAGGTTTCAGTTTTTCATTGGGAATATAGGTGTTTTCAAGCTGTCTATTCGGCTAGAATGATTATACGTGTACCACCGTCCTGTAGGAACAAAGCAGTAAGCACAGGAAGGCCTGCAGCCCAACAGCTTCAGGGCAGTCCCCAGTTCCAGAATACCACGTGTGCCTGAATGGACTGTTGCCTGACCCAACTAGACTTGCTGATGTCTCCAGGCAAAGCACTGTTCACAATGCCCACAAGGACGGAAAACAGGGGCTGCACCAGGCCTAGAGCAGATGTCATATGTTTCTGAACCTGTCTCCTTACAGAAGCCAGAATACTCTGAGACCAGCTTCTATTTTTAACAGACCACCTGTCTCAGTTACCTGCTGCTGTGTGACAAACCACCCCAAAGGTAGGGGCCTGAAGCAATGATTTATTAATTTTCAGAATTCTGTTGGTTGGCCATGTGAGTCACTGTGGTGCTGGTCTCATGCAGGTGTGTCGTCTGATGGTTTGCCTGGGGCTACATGTAGGCTTTTCAGATTGGTTTCTTTCCTTAGGAATATGCATTTAAGTTTCCTCCATGCCTTTCATGGCTTGATAGTTCATTTCTTTTTAGTGCTGAGTAATATTCCTTTGTTTAGATTATCATAGTTTATGCACTGTAGTGTTCTGGGTTTTCCAGGAAAACAGAACCAGTATATACACGGCGGGAGAGGGAGAGAGACAGAGAGAGAGAGATTGAGAGATCATATGGAATTGGGTCATGTGGTTATGGAGATGGACAAGTCCCAGGATCTGCAGTCGGTAAGCTGGAGACCCATGAAAGCCAATGGTGTAGTTCCAGCCCGAGTCAGAGTCTGAAGGTAGGAGAAGACTGTCCCAGCTTGAAGACAGTCAGGTAGAGAAAACATGAATTCTCACTTAGTCGTCTTTTTTTTGTTCTCTTTGGGCCTTTAAGTATTGAATCAGGCTCACCCACATTGGGGAGGGCAATCTACCTTACTCAGTCTACTGATTCACATGTTAATCTCATCCAGAAACACACTCACAGACACAACAAAATAACGTTTAACCAAAAGTCTGGGTACCCTGGGGCCCGTTCACACATAAAATTAACCACCATATACAGTCACCTACTGAAAGACATTTTGGTTGCTTCCGAATCTTGACAATTATGAATAAAGCTGCTCTGAACATCTGCGTGCAGGTTTTTGTGTGGACATAACGTTTTCAGCTCTTTTGGATAAATACCAAGGAGCACAACTGCCGGACGGAATGGTAAGTATACGTTTAGTTTTGCGAGTAGCTGCCCAGCTATCTTTCAAAGTAGCTGTACCGTTTTGCATTCCCACTAGCAATGAATGAGTGTTCATCCACGTCATCAGATTTTTACACCAATTTTGATATTTTAAATATTGCAGTAAAACATGATTTATCTTGATCACTGAGATTTTTGGCATCATCTTAAACTTTGAGCCTCAGTCCTCATCTCACCCTAATCCTGGCCCTGGATGCAGTTCCTTCAGGACAGAAACCATGTCTTATTATTCTTTTTAAATAAAATATGGCAAGTAGAGCACTTAGTAAAGTACCTGACATACAGTAAGTACTCAATAAATGTTAACCATAGTGTGATTATGTCCTTCAAGGAGCACCTACCAGAGTTACCTGCACATAGTAAATGTTTGTGGAATGAAGTAACGGCTTTTTACACAAATGAAGTATCCTCTTACTTTTCACATATTTTAAAGGCACATTATTCTCTGTTTTGTCAGGCTGAGCAAATTTGGTGTCTGGGGCCTGTCCATATGTTTATATTCACCTCTAACATGTCAAGCGTTGCATTTTAAAAAGTCAAGTCTAGTGCTTTTAGGTAGCAAATGCTTCCATTGAATCCTGGATGGAGAAAGGATTTTCTATTCAGGCTGGAAAAAAAAAAACCTGGTTTCCTCTGCCTCTCTTGTTAGGGAATGTGATGCAGATATGCATTTGCTCTGGGATTCTACTGGTGATTAAAATAACATTATAAGGGACTTCCCTGGTGGCTCAGTGGTTAAGAATCCACCTGCCGGACTTCCCTGGTGGCGCAGTGGTTGAGAGTCCGCCGCTGATGCAGGGGACACAGGTTCGTGCCCCGGTCCGGGAAGATCCCACGTGCCGTGGAGCAGCTGGGCCCGTGAGCCATGGCTGCTAGGCCTGCGCATCCGGAGCCTGTGCTCCGCGACAGGAGAGGCCACAACAGTGAGAGTCCTGTGTACCGCAAAAAAAAAAAAAAAAAGAATCCACCTGCCAATGCAGGGGACATGGGTTTGAGCCCTGGTCTGGGAAGATCTCACATGCCATGGAGCAACTAAGCCCATGCACCACAACTACTGAGCCTGCTTTCTAGAGCCTGCGAGCCACAACTACTGAGCCTGTGAGCCACAACTACTGAAGCTCGCACGCTAAGAGCCTGTGCTCTGCAACAAGAGAAGCTACTGCAATGCGAAGCCCGCACACCGCAATGAAAAGTAGCCCCCGCTCGCCACAACTAGAGAAAGCCTACGCACAGCAACGAAGACCCAACGCAGCCAAAAATAAATAAATTTATTTAAAAAAATAAAATAACAGTACGCAGGCCTCTCACTGTTGTGGCCTCTCCCGTTGTGGAGCACAGGCTCTGCAGCCATGGCTCACGGGCCCAGCCACTCCGCGGCATGTGGGATCTTCCCGGACCAGGGCACGAACCCGTGTCCCCTGCATCGGCAGGCGGACTCTCAACCACTGCGCCACCAGGGAAGCCCCGGTTGTTTTCTATTTAAAGTTCAAAAAATAAAGTATAATTCAGACCTGACTTTAGGGTTTGCCCTAATGTTTTATCAAGTCTAGTTTTACTTGATCGGCATTCATTTCTTCTACGATTTTCCTCACATGCTAGAATCGTTGAAATGTGGATCCGAATGACTGAGGATTTCAATCACCGGCAAATTATAGAACTGCAATTCCTAAAACAGAAGTAGCCGTAAACTGGAGTCATTCAAAATATAGACAGTGATGAGAAGAGAATCTTGTGAAACAGCCTATGGAAACGCCGGGAGAAAAGTTTCCCATTCCAACAGGACAGTCTCTGCTATTTCTGTGACTGTGCCTGGAAGCTACTCCAGAAGTTCTGGCACTTACGCAAGGCAAAGCATTTAATAACCTGCTTCTGAGCAGCTGTCAATTAACAACGTAAGGAACAACACACTACATACAATGAAATTTCTGTTTAACTCAGATCAAAGGCTTATTTATACCCATTTCTGTATTTCCCAGCCTACTTCAAAGAAATCATACGTGCATCAAGGGCTTTAGACAAGCCAGGTGGGATGTCGGCCTTGCCCGCCGCACAGTCAATTTGAGGAAAGCAAGAAGGGAAGGAGGAGCAGAGAAAATGGTAAGTTTAACGGTTTTCAGCTTGTGAAAATATTGGCTAACTGGTGATTTATCTTCGTGTTTCTCTCTCCAGGAGGGGGAGAAAGGCCAGCACCAAAATCCATTTCAGCACTTTTCTCGTGTGAGTCATTCAACCAACCAACCCTTCAGCACTTCGCCCTCAGAAAACGTGTTGAGTTGTGGCTTATGGGAAGGAAAGCTTCCCTCGGCGGGGATGCCGAGAGGAAGAGGAACGTGGCTGACTAGGGCAGTGTGGTCTCCGGCAGAGCTAGTTGTAGAGGGGGTATTGCTCTGAAGATGTGTTTTATCAGTCAGGCAGGTTTGTGCCACAGAAATTTAAGTTTATATATGTCATACCACCATTAATAGGTAGCAATTTATATTTACCAAGTGCAAATAATCCATTGAGGTTTAAAACTTAAACGGTGAACATCTAGTCAATTTAATCTAAATAATCTAAGTCTAATGTTAGTAGAGGAGCCCAGAATAGATGGGATACTGAAGTGTATTTTTATTTTAACAAAAGCCAACTGGAAAGGCAAAAATTCATACTGTGAGTAATCCAGCATCTCTACATGGCAACGGTGAGAGCTGAAATGACTTTGAAGCACTCCGTTCCTTTTAAAGCGTCCCTTCTGCTACTAACTGTCCCACATTACTAAAAAATAACCAACCCCTGTTGAAATGTTCAACTGAACTGCAGCCGTGACAGAGCATTTTTTTAACGGCATTTCCCTTACCTGTGCGGGATTCAGCTCCACAGATGCTAGAGACGACTTAGAACTTCTCAGTTATTTAGATGTGTACGTTAAGATTTCCAACTACTTCATCCTGAGAGTCCACATCTTCTAGAAGGGAAAACATCTAAAATGGATATAAATTAGTAAACAATATGACTAAATGTTTAGGCAGAGATTAAAAACAACACTAAGCTTTACATTCCATGTACTGAAGGTATGAAAAGCCCACCTCGGAATACCTTCCATGTACTGAAGGTATTCCGAGTGTCAAAATATCTGATAAAATAAATTACAGCCACTAGCAGATAGTCGTCATGCTGCTAAGCATTAGTTCAGAAATTAGAAAGACAAACATGGTAGACAAGGTTTGCACATTGACAAAGTGGCGACGATGGAAAGCAGTAATAATCACCTGGACCATATTCCTGAATTCTTATTTGTTTGATAAAAGGTTAGAAGAGCAGACATCTTGCCTGGGTGAATTCTATTTTATTCACTCTTCAAATAAAAGTCTTTCGAGCCCAACAATATGTCATGGGATTGTACAAATTGGCATTTGAAGATATCAAAAGGATGCCTGACACCTAGAGAGACACGGAGACACGTGACTTCACTGTCAGTTGCTGGCTTTTCTGTTCCTGTTTCCATGACATTACATAGGCGGGGGGGGGGGGGGGGGGGGGGGGGGGGTTGGTTTTGGTTGTTTTTTTTTTTATAAAGCAATGTTTTTTTCTTTTCTTTTGTTTAAA